ACTTTTATTTATTCCTATTGTAAAGTTGATGTGCAGGGGCTGGGAAGGTGGCTCAGTGGTAGAGCGCTTGCCTTGCATGCCTGAGGCCCTGGGTTCGATTCCCAGCACCACATAAGCAAAAAGAAAAAAGCCGAAGTGGCACTGTGGCTCAAGTGGTAGAGCGCTAGCCTTGAGCTGAAGAGCTGAGGAACAGTGCTCAGGCCCAGAGTTCAGGCCCCACGACCGGACCCAAAAAAAAAAAAAGTTGATGTGCAGAGGGGTTACAGTTACATAAGTCAGTTGATGTGTACATTTCTTTATGAACAGTGTCACCTCTTCCCTCATTCTCTCCTAGTTTTTTCCCTCCTGCTCTCTTCCCTCACAAGTTGTATTGTTCATTTTGAACATAATGTCTAGTGAGTATCACTGCTGCATTAGTTCACCCTTTGCTCTCCCCTCCCCCACTATTTTTATACAGGAGGAGAGGAAAGGGTCATGTTTTGAGTCTCCTGCTGGTAGCTAACTGGTTTTCCCAGCACCATTTGCTGAAGAGGCTGTCATTTTCCAGTTTGTGCTTTTGGCTTCTTTGTGGAAAATTAGAAGACTGTAGATGTTGGTTTAAAAATATTGTTATTAGCATGTGTTAGTTATACAAGGGTGGGTTTTATTGTGACATACACATACATACATACAATGTGTCCTATCTATCTCTCTCTCTTCCCCACTCTTCTTATTTCCTAAAACAGGTTTCAGTGTTCTGTTTTTATATCAATCTAAAGTCCTTTGACCATATTCACCAATTATATCATTTATTTTATTCTGCTTTCACCCCTTGTTGTTTCCCATAACCTAATATAGTCTATTTTACTTTCCTGTTATTGTCCCCCCCCCCCACTTCTTTTTTGCATGTGTTAATTGTACAAAGAGCCACACTTCTGGCCCTGCTTTTTGCTGGTTATTTTTGGAGATGGGGTCTCGTGGACTTTTCTGCTTGAGGTGACCACTAGTGTTCAGATTCAGCGTTATTAACTTTAAAAATGCACTGGGCTGTAGCTTAGCTGTAGCTGCAGTGGTGGAGCATTTGTTTAGTTTGTATAAGGCTCCAAGTTTGATTACTAGTAGGGAAGGAAAGAATGGAGGAAGGACAAGGGAGGGTGAGAGAAAGGAAGGAAGGAGGAAGAAACAAAAAGGAAACAGTAGCTCATTAAATTTCCATACATGTTGATGAGGATTAAACCCAGGGCCTACCACTAGGCTACACAAGTGCTTTACTACTGAGCTTTGTCAGCCTCCAAACTGGTGGCTAAAATAATGACTTCAAAACTTGGCTTTTGAGATGATTAGAACTCTTGTAAATACAAGTTCAGTTTATATTATTAGTGCTTCCTTGTACTTCTGATTTTTTACTTTAATATCCTGCCAAAAAACTTATGACTTTTTTTTCAAAACAACTTAAAAAAAATCAGTTACCTGTGAGACAGTGATATATGGGCCAAGAAAGAGGCCAGAAGGAAATGGAGTATATAGTTCAAATAAACAACCAAATGAATAATTCACAGACACTAGTGTTTGTGTTCATTTTATTTGTGCAAGAGTGCTGGTCATGTCAGGTATTTTGAAACGGTTGGTTCAGTAATTTGGCCTACTGTCTTTTTTTTTTCTCTATAACAGTTTTTCTGTTTTCTACTACACCTTGCACATCCACCAATCCAAGACACCCTATAGGTGAGTATTTTTCTAGTTCTCAAATGGAACCAGCCAGTTGCTGCTTCATTAAAAGTAGGCTATTTTTATACTCTGAATTAATGCTTATTTGTTTTTACAGAACATATTTTACTCCACAACTTTACAAATTACCTGCAAATTGCCAAATGGCTATTTTTATCCTACTATCCCCTTCCCAAATTTCACAGTAACATTAAACTTTTCCCTCTAGTATTTGTACTCTTAAGAACTTTTAGATGCCAGTCTTACTGTGTTAGTTTTTCAAATTTTCAGCACAAAAACTACAAAATTAGAACAGCTTGGTTACATTTTTAGAAAAAAAATTAATGATCTTACATTAGTTATTCCATTGCTACAGTTCCACATAGTTTTTTGTTTTGTTTTGTTTTTTGTCAGTTGTGGGGCCTGAACTCTGAGCCTGGTCACTGTCCCTCAGCTCTTCAGCTCAAGGCTAGTGCCCTACCATTTGAGCCACAACACCAGTTTTGGCTTTTTCTGCTTATGTGGTGCTGAAGAATCAAACCCAGGGCCTCATGCATGCAAGGCAAGCACTCTACACTGAGCCACTTTCCCAGCCCTCCACACAGTTTTATACCATGTTTATTTTAACATTCTGAAATATAGTATAACAAATTGATAAGCAAATTAGTAGTTTTTCTAGAACTTAATTTTTTTCTAGAGCTTAAGCATGATTCTCCTAAAAGCTTAGGAGAAAAACTACAAGATTTCATGGATATTAGTTTCTTGTGGAGTTTTGTTTAATTCTGAATTTGTACTTTGGATCAGAAAGACTTACAAAGCCTTTTTGCTTTTCTATAATTGTCTTAGACTTGTCTGATCTTTTTCTAATTTTTAAAAATATAATTTAAAAAAATCTTTCAAGAAGAGAATATTTTCCTAAATTCTTTGGAAATAACAGACAATAATACATTCAATTTGTTAGTTTTGAGAGGATTTGATGAAAAAAGGAACAGAAACAACTTCCCATCTTCCCCATTTCTCATATAGCTAGTTCAGCTTTGCCATACAGTTATAGCACTGGTAGCACTGCAATGTCTAGTTTTTGACTTTACAAAGTTCTTATTATCCCTAACCTTCTATTGCTGTGCTCATCCTTGCTGATACTTGGTAATGGCTAGACATTCTCAACAAGTATTCCTGGAAAAATTAGCCTAGAAGTACTAGGAATGAAAGACAGAATTGATTTTTTTTAAAGGCTTCTTTTTCTCATTTTTCTAGAATATGAGGCATGCAGCATGCAGTAACTTGCATGGTGAATTTGGTGGTTAGTTTCTATAAGGTTTGACAGTAAGTTGTAGCTATTTTATTTTATTTATTTTTTACTATGATTTCCTTTTCTTCCTGTTGGCTCTAAATTTACTAGCACCAAGTAGGGAATTAGACAGTGACAATAGAAATTGGTCACTGATTTAGGTGGCCTGTAATATATATAAACAAATTCCTCAGTTGCTTTTTTGCTTCAGTGTAGTTCCTTTAAAATGTTTTGCCCATATTTATGCTTATTTTTCTGTTATGAAAACTTTCTATAAGAATTTTGAGGAAGAAAAATAATCCTTGGATTTCCATGGTAAGGGGTGTATATTTGCAGAAAAGGTCAAAATTTGAGAGTCCTGAAGGAGTTGTACTCTACAACTGTTCTGGATTGGTGGATCTGCAAATATTAAGGAAGGGAAGGACCAAATATTTCTTTTGATGTGAGTGATAATAATGTCTGCCTTTCTTCTAATTTGGGGTAAATTTTTATTTGAATCTTTTATCTGGTTTATTATTGAATTGACGATACATTTTATTTTACACAGTAGGCTTAAAGCTATATAAAATATTATTTAATTTATGTAATTGGTAAGCTCCCTCATTAAAGAAAATTAACCCTTTTTATAAGTAGGAAAATTTTCTTGTATTTAAATATTTTTTTGGTTTATATATGACAAACTCTTGCTATATGGCTAAGGCTAGCCTCAGACTTGAGATCCTCCTTCCTCAACCTCTCAAGTACCAGGATTACAGTACTCAGCTCCTAATCATGTTGAATGTTAGGCTCTTACTTCTATATCTTCTATTATGTAGGCTAATTGAAGTATATATAAAATAAGGGAAAAGGAATTGAAAATTTTAGGAATAGAATTGCCAAATTAGATTGAAAAAGACTAGTTGTATTTTTGCATTTATATCTAAATATGATTTTTAAATAGAGAGGTTGCATATTAAATATATAAGAATTGGTTGATGGGCTATTGTGCTGTTGACTTACATGTAAAAAACAACAGTTCCACTTACTAAAACTCAATCTGGTTCTTACTAGTGTGATTCCCAACTAGATAGGACTCATTAAAAACTGCAGAAAACTCCATCTTGTATTTTCTGACACTTTATTTATTGCTGTTTAGAGAAATAAGAATCTTTTGTGATTGTGAATAATTGAATTTAATATAATTTTTAATTACTGCTAATTTATTTCTCAATTATTGCTAACTTATTGCTCTATAGAGAAATAAGAATATTTTGTACTATTTTATGAAGGATTGAAGGTAAAGTATTGGGAAGATGAAAACAGATGTTTCAGCAAGTATTTCACTAATTCATCTTGTATATTCAATTCATATTTTGAGTAATTTTAGGATTTGTACTTAAATCAACTGTGTGTGATTCATTCATTTCCTAGGTGAAGCTTACCAATAACAAATGCATAATGCAAGCCAGATGCCAGTGGCTCATGCCTGTAATGCTAGCTACTCAAGAGGCTGAGATCTGAGGATCATGGTTTGATGCCAGCCAGGGCAGTAAAGTTCGTGAAACTCTTTATCTCCAATAAGCTGGAAGTGGCACTGTGGCTTAAGTGGTAGACCACTAGCTTTGAGCAAAAGAAGCTGGGTCAGAGCACAGGCCCAGGGTTCAAGCCCTAGGACCAACCCCTCCCCCCCAAAAAAAAAGGATGATGAAAATGTATATTTATCTCTTTATTTGCAGCATATTATTAGTAATGCTTTGTTTTATTATTTGTACATGGTAGACAAGTAGAACAATTTCTACCTTTATAGTAACATTTTATATATAAATATAAAGTAAGAATAGTTAAATGGCAAAAAATTACTTATTTTGATGGAGCAAGAATAAATAGAAACTATATGTAAGTCTGGTGCATCATATCTTGAAGAACTTAAATTTTGGACCTGAAACTTAACGACTGAAACAGGCCTGATATATTTTATATACCTAGGGATTGCTGGACAGACTGTAGAATAATCAGAGTTTATAAATGATGGTTCTTTCCTTAGATATTTCGTGAAGCTCGAAGAACAGTACCTAGTATTGTTTACATGCCTCACATTGGTGATTGGTGGGAAGCTGTCAGTGAAACTGTGAGAGCAACTTTTCTGACATTGCTACAGGATATACCGTCATTTTCACCTATATTTTTATTGTCTACCTCTGAAACCATGTACAGTGAATTGCCTGAGGAGGTAAGAACTGATTATGCATTTTTCCTTATTTACTTTTTAAAAATATTGACCTTGTGGGCTGGGAAGGTGGCTCAGTGGTAGAGCGCTTGCCTTGCATGCATGAGGCCCTGGGTTCGATTCCTCAGCACCACATAAGCAAAAAGAAAAAAGCCGGAAGTGGTGCTGTGGCTCAAGTGGTAGAACGCTAGCCTTGAGCTGAAGAGCTGAGGGACAGCGCCCAGGCCCAGAGTTCAGGCCCCACGACTGGACCCCCCCCCCTTAAAAAGAAATTGACCTTGTAAGTTGGACATCTTAATTAGTATCATCTAGGTTATATGTTTGGTTATGTGGTTTATCATTTTTTCTGCATGAGTGTGCAAGTCTTGCTGCTTGAATTCAGGGGCTAGGCCCTGTCCCTTTAGCTTTTCCACTCAAGGCTGTGTGCTCTATCACTTGAGTCACAGCCCCAACTTCAGGTTGTTTTGGTAGTTAATTGGAATTAAGAGTCTCATGGAAGCCAGGGCTGGCTGCAATTCTCAGATCTCAACCACTTGAATTGCTATAGAATTATAAGTATGAGCCACTGCTGCCTAGCTTAGTTTATCATTTTAAGTTTTGTCTTTTTTTGGTATAATAGTAATATTATATTTAGTGTTATAAGATGAGACAACCCATGCTTAGAACAGAAACTGACATACTTATTTACAGTTCTTCTAGGAAAGCCTTAGCTCTTACAGCTTCCCTCTGCTCCCGACTCCTGAGTCCTAGTTCTTGTGCTCAACGCTAGAGCCACAGTGTGATACTTCCCCTTTTCTTGTGGTTAATTGGAGATAAGAGTCTTATGAATGGATTTTCCTGGCTTCCAACTGTGATGATCAGTTCTCAGCCTCCCCAAAGTAGCCAGGATTACAGGCATGTGCCATCAGCACCAGCTCATTCTTTCTAGATCAGTTGTGGGGAATGACCTTTAAGCTATTCTTTGGTACCATCATTTTAAGTCAAATGTCACTAATACGTATTTTTTTTTAATTTGAGATTTATTTTTGAGTTCAAATTAAAAGTAAAACCACTGTTGATTCAGAAGAAATATCAATTTGTGATTGAAACTGGTGTTTAAAAAATTGTTTTCACCCTGCACTTTCTTAGTCTTCAATCTCATCCATTCATTTGTTCATTCATTCATTCAATTATTTTGATGGTACTGGGTTTGATCTTAGGGCCTGAAGTTTGCTAGGCATATACTCTAGCAGTTGGGCCATACTTCCAGCTAGATAATGTCCTTTGGAATTGCTAAGAAAAGATTTGCATATCTTAATATAAACCTTGATTATATAAAGTTTTATGACTAAGATATTTATTTTCTGAACTTTTTTAATATCTTTATATCTTGCTACAATGAATTTATTTAGTTAATAATCTTGTGAAAGAATAATATAGCCTTTTAAGGAAAGTATATTAAGTGTAGAGAAATTCACTTCTGATTATTCATCCTGATAACACACACACACACACACACACACACACACACACACACACACATCTCAAGACCATTCATCAGTGCATTTAGTTTATCAGTATGGATGGCAATAAAATTTAGCTGTATGTAGTAAGAGTCAGCACCACAGTACTGACTTATTAGTTTTCTTATCTTAAATATTTCGATCTAAAATATTTATCTGATTGCAAAGGTCATGTACTTATAACACCCTACATACTTTTTTTTTTTTGGTCGGTCGTGGGGCTTGAACTCTGCGCCTGGGTGCTGTCCCTAATCTCTTCAACTCAAGGCAAGCACTCTACTACTTGAGCCACAGTGCCATTTCCAGTTTCTGGTGGTTTATTGGAGATAAGAGTCTCAAGGACTTTTCTGCCCAGGCTGGCTTCGAACAGCGACTTTCCTGCTCGGGCTGGCTTTGAACTGTGAGCGTCAGATCTCAACCTCCCGAGTAGCTAGGATTACAGGCGTGAACTAACACCTGGCTAATACACTACAATCTTTATAGGACTTCTCCATAAAAGCAGATTGTGGATATGGTAATGCTTTGTTAGGCTTGATGAGTAGTTAGGAAAATTGCTAATTTCATATTCAGTTAAGGCCATTGTTCATATAATATAAATTTCTTAAATGTCTATTCTTTGTAATATACTGTACTGGTATGGAAAGGCTGATTTGCTTAACGCAGGTCAATGTCTTGTTTTCTTTATTCTCCTACCTACAGTGTTTAACTGCCTACTACAGTTTCTAGATACATGCATTCAAACACTACATATAGACTTACATGCACATTACTATTTTTAGCACAGTAAATCTTTTTAGATAAGTGAATAAAACATATGAAAACCAAAAAAGGCAGTCCCTTCCATATAGGAGGGAAGAAAAACACTGAAAAATTAAAATACAATATAAGTGCTATGATACAATATATAAAGCATGCTATATGAAAGAAAAAAATTAAAACTTTACCTTTTAAAAGATACCATTAGGGCTGGGAAGGTAGCTCAGTGGTAGAGTGCTTGCCTCACATGCATGAGGCCCTGGGTTCGATTCCTCAGCACCACATAAGCAGAAAAAGCTGGAAGTGCCTCTGTGGCTCAAGTGGTAGGGCTGAATTGCTGAGGGACAGTGACCAGGCCCAGAGTTCAGGGCTCCACAACCGATCAAAAAATAAATAAAAAAATATATATGAAGAAAATTTAAAAAAATATCTTTAAAGAACTTTTAAAAAGTTACATATATATATATAACTATATAAGCTATATATATAGCTATATAGAGGGGGCCTCAATTCAACAAAATGGTTTATATTTATAGTGCATCTTGGTCAGTGTCACCCATTCTGTCAATTTCCTCCAGCTTTCCCAACCCCATCCATTATACTCAAGTTAAAACAAAAGTTTTAAGATTTTTCAATGGAGAAAAGCATTTTTTTTATTACAAAAGTAATATACAGAGCCATTACAGTTAGTTACATAAGTCAGGTAATGAATAAATTTCATTTTGGATGTTGTACCTTCCCTCATGGCAACATTTTTAAGAAATGATGCTGGAAAAATTGGATAACTACATGCAAAAAAAAATGAGTTGGACCTTATCTAACAAGGTATAGAAAATAACTGAAAGTAGATCCAAGACCTAAACATAAATCCTAAATTTAGCCTTAAGACTCTTAGAAATAAACAGAGAGGCTGGACAGCAATGGCTTATGCCTGATCTAAGGATCACTGTTTGAAGTTTGTAGAAAGGCTTGTGAGACTGTCTTTTTCAATTAACTATATGATCCAAGCAAGTCAGCTTCTATGTATATACTCAAAATAAGTGAAAGCAGGAACTTGGACAAGTATTTATATTCATAAGCAGTATTATACACAATATCCAAAAGTGGGAACAACTTCAATGTCTATTGACAAGTGAATAAACGAAGTGTGGTATATATATATATATATATATATACACACACACACACACACACACACACACACACACAATGGAAAATTCAAAAGGAAAGAATTTTTGAGGGAGCTACAACATGAACAAATATTGAAGACAGTATGCTAAGTGAAGTAAGCTCTTCACAAAAAGGACAGTTGCACTCATGGGCCTACATTCATATAGATATGAATGTTTATAGTAATATTCATGATAGCAAAAAAAAGAAATAACCTATTCATTGGTGAATGGCTAAATATAATGTATCTGCTTATGGTGAAATACTATTTAGCAATAAGTGGGATGAAATACTGATACATACTAGAACTTGAACCAACCAAGTTGATTACAGTGAGTAAAACTATTCCACAAAAGCCTATCATCCTATATGAATTTCTAAAAGGGGAAAATCTATAGAGATGGAGACTAGTATCTCCAATGTGGTTGAATTGAAATATGTGATTATGAATGAGAACTAACTGCAAATATGAAACTTTTGAAGGTAATAAAATGTTTTAAAATTGGTATATGAGTTATACAATGGCATAAATTTACTAAAAAGTAATCAAAAAAATTTTAGTGAGAAGTAGTGAAAAGTATGCCTAATTAATACAGGAATGAATTATCTAAAAATCATCTGCTTGAGTAGAACATTTTGTACTAGTGTGAAAGAGAATATGATTTGTTCACTGATTTTAAGAGCCTTGCCTTGTGGCAATATGAAGTTTGGGGCTGGGACTATCAGAATAAGATTGCGAGTGAAGTTAGAGAAAAACAATTTGATATACTAGGAAAATGATGTTTTTCAGCCTGTTGGTAATAGCAAGAGTATCCGTGGATTATGACAGATTTATTTTTTTTATTGTGAAAATACTGTACAGAGGGGTTACAATTACATGGGCAAGATAATTAGTACATTTCTTATCAAGCATTGTAGCCTCCTCCTTTGTTTCCCCTTCCCATCCCTTCCCATCCTCCCCCCGCCACCCCCAATCCTCTAGATTTATTGTTGAGATAGTTTTATAGTCACAAAGTTAAACACAAGGAGGTTGAAATTGTCAGAATTCTTTAGTATAATTCTTTAATATAATTTAATATTCTTGCTGAATATTAAAAATTAAAACTAAATGTTTTACCCTTCATGTGCAGAATCAGTATTTTTAGGGTATTTGAGTTCTGTTTCTTTATCATTGCTCAGTCACGCCTCAAGCCCTTTTAGCTTTCCTTGTTTTTGAATTGAGTCTTAACTTCTTTGCTCAGTGCTAGCCATGGAACATAATTCTCCTACCTATGGCTTCTCACATAGCAGGGGTCACAAATGCATATCCTCATGACCAGCTTAATGATTGAGATAGGGGTGTGTATCTCAGTTTTTGATCTGCTTAACTTCAAGCCATGATTCGCCCTGTCTCTACCTCTTGAGTAGGATTACTAGGAATATAGATATGAACCACTGTGCCTGGCCCTTTCTAGCTTCTTATTACAGATGCTAGATAATTATTTTACAGCTTTATGTAAAAGCTCATTGAGATTTCTGCCATCTGAGTATTATAATCAAGTGTCTTTTTTGCTATTTTCTGATGACTTCCACAAAAAGTGTCATGTATTAATTGCTTGAACTGGACATTTTTCCATTCTTCTTTAATCTATGAGGTCAAATTTTCACGAGAATAACTGATGACTGGATTCTATATATAATTGCAAATGATACTGAAAATTGAAGAAATTTTAATTTAGTATAATATGTATTGCTTTTAATTCTCTGTATATTCAATGTCTTTGTGTGTGTGTGTGTGTACATGTGTAGGTTAAGTGTATCTTTAGAATACAGTATGAAGAGGTCTTGTATATTCAAAGGCCTATTGAAGAGGACAGAAGAAAATTTTTCCAAGAACTGATTCTCAATCAGGCGTCAATGGCACCACCTCGAAGGAAACATACTGGTAAGATAAGTTAAGAAATACATGTGTTTGTATGTGCATGTGCACATGTGCACACGTGTGCTGGTTCTGAGGCTTGAACTCTGAGCCTTCCTCTTTTGCTTAGCTTTTCTACTCAAGGCTGACACTACCATTGGAGCCATACCACTTCCAATTTTTCTCTGGTTAGAGGTAAGAGTCTCTTAGGTTTTTTTCTGAAAGGGTTTGTGTAGTGACCGCCTTGACCAGCAAGGAAGACGCGACACCGAACTCTTCTCTCTGCAGTTTATTCAGGACCTTTGAGTAATCTTCTGACCCCAACCCCGGGGAGAATTCCCCACAGCCTTAAGTACCTGCTGGGTAGCCAACCCTGAAACACTATGTAGGAACCACCAATAGGTTCAGGTGCGCGGAAGCAAGCCAGATTCTTTGCCTTAGCCATATAAGGAGTTGTTTACCACAGAGAGCACTCGCGGGCGGAAGCCGGTGCCATCTTCCAGGTGCGGCCTCTCGCAGCTCTCTACAGGTTTGCTTTAAACTACAATCTTCAGATGTCAGCATCCTGAGTAGCTAGGATTATAAGCTACTGATGAGAAGAAATACCATTTCTTTTTTTTTTTTCAGTCAGTTGTGGGGAATGAACTCAGGGTCTAGGTACTGTCTGTGAGTTCTTTTGCTCAAGGATGGCACTCTACCACTTTGAGTCACAGCACCACTTTAATTTTTCTAGTGTTTAATTAATTGGAGATAAGAGTCTTTCAGGGCTTTCTTGCCTGTGCTGGCTTTGAACCGCAATCCTCAGATCTTAGTTTCCTGAGTAGCTAGGATTACAGGCGTGAGCCATCAGTTCCCCACCAAGAGAAATACCATTTCTTGGAGTCAGTCTTTTGAAAACAACAACAACAAAAAAAGAAAACTTGATGAAAGTGAAGTCAGTTAGGTGCTATTGGTCTTCAGGTGGACAGACATAAAGAAATGACCAACATATTCACCTTATTTAAGATTTGGAGCAAAATCTTTTGAAGTCTTATTAAATAGGACTTCTCATCACTCCAATCCAGATGCTCTGGTAGCTTTCACATTCTGATGGTTTAAAAAGCCAAAGGAGCCGGGCGCTGGTGGCTTACGCCTATAATCCTAGCTACTCAGGGGGCTGAGATCTGAGGATCGCGGTTCAAAGCCAGCCCGGGCAGGAAAGACCGTGAGACTCCTATCTCCAATAAACCACCAGAAAACCGGAAGTGGCGCTGTAGCTCAAGTGGTAGAGCGCTAGCCTTGAGCTGAAGAGCTAAGGGACAGCGCCCAGGCCCAGAGTTCAAGCCCCACGACCAACAACAACAACAAAAAAAGCCAAAGGAAAAAAAAAAAAAACTTCACTTCTTCGCTGTAACAGTCACTTAAAGTACCCAAGTGTTTCACTGCCGGCTTGTGAATGCCAAGTTTTATGCTAATAATTTTGTGGTCCAGGTAGACCAAGAGTTAGAACATTTGCCTTTTCTGGCTTTTACTCCAATATTTAGGTGGCTCCATTCATTAGTACCTTTAATTATTAGTTGTGGCCTCCTGTGGATCTCTCAGGATTTTAAATATTTTATAGAAATGCCGTGTTTTTCTCCTTCCTACTCTTGGATGTATTAATTTTTTTGGTCCTGTAAAGATGTCAACTTTTGTGTTTAAGATTAGCATGTGTCTTTTTTAGTTGCTTCTATTGAATTTTAGTTTTCATCTTACAGGCTATTTAGAAGTCAGGAAAATACTTAGTATTTTATTCCTGAGCCTTAATGTAATGCCAGGAAAATGTTTTAAGGAATTAAAGAACATTATCATTAGGAGAATTACTAAGTATTCTTCGATTTTTTTTTTTTTTTTTTGTCTTAAGATACATATTGATGGGCTGGGAAGGTGGCTCAGTGGTAGAGTGCTTACCTCCCATGCATGAGGTCCTGGGTTCGATTCCTCAGCACCAAATAAGCAGAAAAAGCCGGAAGTGGTGCTGTGGCTCAAGTGGTAGAGTGCTAGCCTTGAACTGAAGAGTTGAGGGACAGTGCCCAGGCCCAGGGTTCAGGCCCCACAACTGGCAAAAAGAAAAAAAAAAGATACATAAATTTTATATAACATCTTAGACTAGTTTCTTTTTCTTCTATTACTGTGGTTCAAGTTTTAGTTTCTTCTATTTTTTTTCCTTTTCTTTTTTTCTCCTTTATCGACAGCTCTTACATATAGTACCCAGAATATGAGGTGATTAGAAGACCTGTCTAATATTACAAGTTTGGGGGGATAGGAGGGATCAGAGAATTGTTATTTATCTAATATACCTTTCATGTATATATGTATGCATGTATGATTATCCCATAATGCTTACTTAAGAAAAATCACTACTCAGTAATTGACTTTCCTTGAGCTTAATATAAAAATCTATTATCTATTATAAAAAATCTACTATTTGTCTTTTCAAGTAGTCTTATTGTTTATTATTTCGTAAATGAAGCTATTCTAAAATGAAACTGTTCCTTTTTCTTTTAATTTAAATTTACTTGCTGGATTTTCATGGCTCACATTTATCTGTGATTCTCCTTTCCTTTATAGTTGTTTTGTTGTTTCGGTTTGGTTTTTGGCAATACCAGTGTTTGAACTCAGGGCCTGGTGTTTACTAGGCAGGTATTTTTTACTGTTGTATTACACCTTCGGTTTCCTATGATTTGAGTGAGAGAATGCCAGAAAAGTTATTGAGGTCCTGGCTCACTGTGTTGGGATCTTAACATTTTCTTCTATTTTCTCCAGCTCTTTGTGCTATGGAAGTGCTTCCTCTTGCACTGCCTTCTCCTCCTCGTCAGTTATCAGAATCAGAAAAAAATCGGATGGAGGATCAAGAGGAAAATACTTTAAGAGAATTGCGGTTGTTTCTCAGGGATGTAACCAAGAGGCTGGCCACAGACAAACGCTTTAACATCTTCAGCAAACCGGTGGATATTGAAGAGGTCTTGTTTCAGTAGTGTGCAAACAGTGAAGTTGAACTGGCTAAAAGAAAAAAATATTGACATCTTTTTTTGGAAGGAAAAAAAGCAAAGGCATGGATGAATATTACCCCTAGCCTATAAAATTTTAATCCATGTTATAACTACCAATGTCATCATCAAACATCTGGTGACTTTTAGATGAAATTAGTGACCAATTTGTATGTGTCCTCTTAATTATTAATGATCTTTGTGATCATGTACTCTTCAAGTTAAGAAGAGGATTAAAGTTGTTTTACTGAAATATTCTTACTAGACTATTTTTATTCCAGGATAAATCCTGTTCTCAAAAATTATATTGGTATTAATCCATCAATACCAACTACCATTGGCATTTCTTTCCCAAATTACATACATCTTGTTAAAAAAGTAGCTAAGAAACTTGAATTTTTTTCTTTCATATTTTGAAAATACTCGTCTCTAAGACGCTGTTTGAAGTATATCACATACATCTAAAACTGTTTTTGTCACCATGGATTTTTCTCTGTTCCAAGTGGAAAATTTCTCACTTTGTGTATTGTTTTGTGTGCTTGTGGGAAGCATGGATTGTGATGATGAGAAAAGGAATTTTCCATTTGGGATCTACTATGATACTATCAATTACATTTTTTTTATCCTGGGATAATATAGTGTGGATGAACACAATGTGATCTTTACTGGCCTTCTTCTTATAGTTCAGACTCCATGTTTGAGCAGCTTTGATGTTTTTATTTTATTTTTAATTTATTTTTTTTAATTTGAATTATAAAATGATTCAGAGTTTAATGCTATGTCCTGATTGTGAAATCTGTGCTTTAGGACCTGAGCAGATTCCTTTGGAACCATTACCTGATCTGTGACTGGGAAGAATGAGCTAGCATTACTTTTTTTCCCTCCCGAACAAGTCAAAATATCCTCTTTCCCATCTTTTTGGAATAAAGGGACTATCTAAATTTTTGTTTATCTACAGTCATAGTTTTGTCCATTTGATCCTCTCAAAAACCTTGTAAGTTCATTATTATCATTCTTATTTACAACTGAGGAAATTGAGGCTTGTTGGCAAGTGACATAGTGAAGATTTGAATATTTTTTAAAATTCAAATCTCAGACTTTTTTTTCCCTGTGAGATAGGTTGTCACTATATAGTCCATGCTGACCTCAATCTGGATATCATCCTGCCTTAGTCTTCTGAGTGCTGAGGGATTGCAGATGTGCACCACCTTATCCACAAGCCCACATTCCTTTCGTAATAGTTAATACCTTATATCTTTCTCCTCTGTGCATGCAGGATATATCTGATTTGTATTTTAAATTGGTAAACAAAGCATTGTACTTGTGGAGAATTTTTTCTTTCACAGAACTATCAGCCAATGTTAAAGATTTTTTGTGTAGGAATTCGGTGCTGAGGATCAAACCCAGAGCCTTAAACATGTTAGTCAAGTGCTCTACTAGTTGAGCTTCATCTTCAGCTCTACAGATTATTATTTTAAATAAAAATAAATACCTCTGCCTTTTTATATATTTGGATTCTGATAATTCAACTTCCCATGCTAAGAATAAACTTTTGCTGAAGCAAACATTCTCCTTTTAACCAGAGAAGATGGTCAGAATTCAAAAGGCATTTATTTATAATGTAATAGGAGTTATCTAAACATAGGACAGTGGCAAGGGATACAAATAAGACAAGAATTTTATGTAAGGGCATATTTCTTATTCTTCTTATGTTTATTCTGGGTCTTTGATAACTTTTGAAGCCAAAATGTAGGGAGTATCTGGGAAGCATAGAAGAGTGGAAATGAGATAATATGTAGAGAACCTAAATATAAACTTTTATATTAAAATAACGAAATTGAAGTGCCCACAAATTTTTATCAAATTTGATCAAACAAAACTCTAGAATGTTAGTATTGGATTTAAAATTAAGCATATTTATTAGATTTTATAGTTTTAACAATATAAAATTTCATGGTGCTTTTCAGTTTATAACCATTTCCATTTATGTTAGGATATGCCAGTACCAAGAATCCAGTTAATGCCTTCTGCACTGTTACTCTAGTTAGCTGCACTACTGTATAGCTGCACTACTGCCCATAGACGATTGATTGAGTTTTCAGCCATTTGAGGCTAAAACAAAGTATATATACTCATACCCATATCTAATATTTTTATAAGTAATCTTAAAATTTGAAAAATGCATATGCAAATTATATATATGTACATAGTTTGTACAAGTATTTCCGTATGTGAACTCAAAAGTCATGCTATTGATGACATCTGAAATTATGAGAAATCATGCCATGTTTTTAGAGAGCATGCTATGTTTTCAGAAACTTGTCCTGAATTAATTTAAGATAGAGTTGCTAAGACTACTTTTATATCAAACTTAAGTACTTGATTTGAGATTTATATTGAGGAAGGCAATAACCATAGAAGTTGCTAATACTACTTTCTCATTAGTACAGTGAAGTGAAACATAAAATTTGTTATTTTGGAGCATGTTGCAGAAAATTGACATGTAAACCAAAAAACAACTTTTGTGTGTGTGTTTGTTTATACTTTGGAGTAAATTCAGCAAATCTAGTTTTGGAAATAGTACTGTACTTTGTTATATAATCGACTGAAAATATTTGTAATGACTCCAAAGGATTAGAAAATATTTTCCATGAAATGATTCATTCAACAAAACTAAAAAAAAAAATTCATTGAAAATTTTAAAAAGATTTACCAGAAAAACTTGTAATAATAGAAAAAGTTTATGCTTTTTATTTTCCTTTTCTTTATCTTCATTTAAGGTACTATTTAATGATGCTTATTGGCTACTTTTACTCATGCATTTTTTTTTGTATCAGATAAGCCCAAAAGGTTTAAAAACAAAATTCCCCAGACAGTCCATTGCAAATTTCAAGTTGATTATGCTTGGAAGCTAAAGCTTTTCATGGAAAGTATGTCAGAAAGTAACTTTATTAGCATAAATAGCACTGTAATTTTGCTAATTTGTTATTTCTTAAATATGTAGATTTCATTGTTAATACTTGTGGTGTGTTTTTATAAACCATGTAGACAATGGAAAAACTAGAAGTAACTTAAGCTAAAATATTCTATTTGTATTAGGTTTCAGATTATCTTGAAGTAATCAAAGAGCCAATGGATTTATCAACAATAATAACTAAAATTGACAAACATAATTACTTGACTGCCAAGGATTTCCTGCAAGATATTGATCTCATCTGTAGCAATGCTTTAGAGTACAATCCAGATAAGGACCCTGGAGGTAAGTAAGGATGCTTAGGGTAGGGTTCACTTTGATAGTTAGAGGATGTTTTACATTTGTTTTATGAAATCATTATGCTTTAAATAGGTAAATAATGCTGCCTATTATATTTAGAAATTTTGAGGAACTAATAACCTACTGTAAAATAATGTGCTTAAATTAGAAAATTTTGTAGTTCTAGATACTGTGTTCATGCCTAGACTTTAGTTTCTCTACTTTTCTTGCACTTTTGTACTTAGATTTTGTTCAGATTGATAGGAAATAGAGCAGATGAGAATTGAGTTTGAAATATATTTAGTCAACAATAGCTTTGATAATGAACACAGCAAATTTTGAATTGGTGGTAACCCAGGATAGAAAAAGTTCATCTTTCTTTTCTTTCTTTTTTGTGGGGAGGCAGAGGGTGGAACTGGTGTGTGAATTCAGGGCTTTGCCCTTGGTAGGCAGGCAGGCAGGCACTGTTTTGGTTAAGTCATGCCCTCAACCCTTTTCTAAATTTTATTTTTTATTTCTTTTGTTGGTCATGGGGCCTGAACTCTGGGCCACTATTCCTAAGCTCTTCAGCTCAAGGTGAGCACTCTACCACTTGAACCATTGTGCCATTTCCGATTTTCTGGTGGTTAATTGGACATAGGAGTTTCATGCACTTTCCTGCCCGGGCTGGCTTTGAACTCTGATCCTCAAATCTTAGCCTCCTGAGTAGCTAGGATTACAGGCATGAAACACCAGTGCCCAGTTTCAAATTATAATTTTTTCTTCAAATTTAAGTAGGTATACAAAAGCTTGTCATTCAACAAAGTAGTTTATGAAACAGTTCGTCTTGATGGTGGGGATAATGCTGTCCCTTTTTGTCAAGGCCTGCTCAGACCCCATTTCTCCTATTCATGGTTCCTACCGTAGTTGGGGAATGGAGATGAACTACCACACCCAGTATTTTTGTGGAGGAGATGGGTTCTTAATGAGCTGTTTTTCTCAGGCTAGCCTGGAACTTCAGTCTTCCTTATCTACATTCGGGCTATATTAAACTCTTTTGTGTAGATCATCTGTTCTGAAGCTGTGGGTATCTTAATATTATTCTACTCTATATGCTATTGTCCCAACTGTTGTCATTGACCTTCAGGGAAGACCACCAAGAACATTTGTAGGTATACAAGATGAGTTTATTGTAAGCAAGGATGATTTTATTGTAATAAGAAAGAATATGCATCATGGAATCACACAGAATTTGGGCTTGTATTAAATAATCTTTGGAAAAGTGCAAGAGGTAGAATTTTGTAATAAACTGGATTCTGTTAAGAAGTAGGATAGCTGGGCAACGGTGGCTCACACCTGTAATCCTAGCTACTCAGGAGGCGGAGATCTGAGGATCATGGTGCAAAAGCCAGCCCAGGCAGGAAAGTCCATGAGACTCTTATCTCCAATTAACCACCAGAAAACCAGAAATGACACTGTGGCTCAAGTGGTAGAGTGCTCACCTTGAGCTGAAGAGCTCAGGGACAGCACCCAGGCCCAGAGTTCAAGACCAGGACCAACCAAAAAAAAAAGTAAGATAATTTTTTAGATTGGTGTTTTTTAAAATATATTTTATTATAATTAAGGTATTGTACAGAGGGGTTAGCAAATAGTATGGAGGGGTTAGCAAATAAATTGGGTAATGAGTACACAGTGAATTTTGAATTTGTGGTAACCCAGGATAGAAAAGGTTTATCTTTCTTTTGTTTCTTTTGGGGGGGGGCAGTGGAGGGAGGCAGACTGGTGTGTGAACTCAGAGCAATATCCTTAAAAATAACATATTATGATAATGTATCAATATTTTTAGTTTGATCCTTTGTTATAAACATTGGCAAGTTGTTTGTTTCTTTGTTTATTGACTATATTAGTTACAATTGTGAGATTCATTATTTCATCTCCAGATATGTTTACATCATAGTCCAATCAATGTCACCCTTCCTAACATATCCCTCTCTGACATACTCCTCTCTAACTTATTCCTTCCCCTTTCCAAGAAATAGATAACTATTTTTTTTGGGGGGGGGTCTAGTCATTGGGGCCTGAACTCCGAGCCTGGGCGCTGTCCCTAAACTCTTCAACTCAAGGCTAGCACTCTACCACTTGAGCCATAGCGCCACTTCCGGCTTTTTTCTTTTTGCTTATGTGGTACTGAGGAATCGAACCCAGGGCCTCAGGCATGCAAGGCAAGCACTCTACCACTGAGCCACCTTCCCAGCCCAGATAACTATTTTTATAGAGACATAGTTTTATGTATATCTCTATTTTCTTAGAATAAATTTCTTAAAATGAAATTTCTGGATCAAGCACCATATATTTTTAAGGGTCTTAATCTGTAATATTAAATTTTTCTTTGAGAGCAATTTTTGAAGAAAACCTCATTCCAGCACCTTCGTGAGGATAACTGCTAGCCAGTGTAGCAGTTTTATTTGAGTGCTTTAGTACAATGTATGTCCTCCTGTGGTAGAGTAGGTGGTGAGCTGTAAGCTAGATGTCAGCCTCATTTACTTCCTTTCCTTGATCATTATATGGGGTCCTGAGGACAGTTTGCATGAGTGCCTATATGGTATTTTAAACAGTATATGATAGTTCTTGTGTGCTGATGCCCTTAGCTGTTAGTTTTCCAGAGACTTCTGGTGTTGGTTCTGTGGTATGGTAGTGGGAATATGGGCTTTGTAATTAGACTTAGGCTTTAATCCCATTATTTATTTCCTAGTTCTTTAACTTTGATCAAGTTAAGTTCTCCACATTTTAGTTTTCTCATCTGTATTCTTTTTTTGAGGTGGTTGTAAAGATTAATAAGGATAGCATTTTAGGTTGAATCTTGTGAAATTGCCATTTTTATATGGCTCAACCTAAATATACGATGCCTCTAGCATATTATGTTCCTTAACGTTTAACTATTGGCATTTATTTCCTTGTTATTTTTTAAATGATAAGTTTTTGGTAGGTAACTATGTATTTGCCTTAAAGTGACTACTTACACTTCATTTTTATTTCATTCTGGAATCCTACTTTAAATATAATCCTTTTCCTCCTTTTTTTGTGGTATTGGATTTGAACTCAAGGCTTTATACTTATCCAGCATACCTACTTGGCTGGCACTTTACTATTTGAACCCTGCCTCTCACCTTGCTTTTTGCTGGGTTACTTTTGGAGATGAAATCTCACAGACTTTTCTGAGTTAGTTTGGAACTGTAATCATCTGTAATCAACTGTAATCCTGTGTTGTAACTGATCTAGGGATTATAAAAATGAATTTAAGTGCTTAGAGGAATCCATTTGAGAAGATCAATGCAGACTTTTTCCCCTAAATAATTAATCATAACCCCATTGATATATATATATATATATATATATATATATATACACACACACACACACACACATACATACACACATACACACATATACACACACCACTTTTAAGGAAGAAACAGTAGTTTCTGGTTCAATACAAAATAAAATTGTATAATTAAAAAATTTGGCTCTATTTTATACCTAGGGTTAACCTGGTATACTTGTAACTTCCTCCTTCACTCTTTTAGATTAGTACAAAATGATATAATTCAAAAGCCTTCTTCTAGCTATGTTCAGATTTTTTTCACAGCTTTAGTCAAGAGACATGTTTTTTTTCTTAGCAACAGAATCACTTGTTATGTACCAGCAAAACAACCTCAGGGTCTTGTTGTGTAGCAAGTGGAAATTACATGAATGTTATATTACTTTTACAAGTTCCCATAAGCTTACAGTGTTCCATTTTGCAGAACACTTGGCCATTTGAGGGGGGAATAAAACTTAGCATATACATATAAGATATAATCTAGCATTTGGAAACTATCACTGTTGCCTTGAGGTTTACTCAGATTTTCTCCCTTGAGGATAATATGGACAGAAATTAAATATGAAGTTGAAAAGAAAGAAAATGACCAGTATCAGATATTTGATCCTTATAAAAATTAAGGTGGATGGCTCTGCATTCATAGTCTTGTGTGGTCTGGATTTTCCTTGCTCCTAAGCCCCCCCTTTTTTTTTTGTTTTTTGTTTTTTTGGTCAGTCATTGGTCTTGAACTCTGGGCCTGGACGCTGTCCCTCAGCTCTTCAGCTCAAGGCAAGTGCTCTGCCACTTGAGCCACAGCTCTACTTCTGGCTTTCTAGTGGTTAATTGTCTCACAGACTTTCCTGCCTGAGCTGGTTTTGAACGGTGATCCTCAGATCTCAGCCTCCTGAGTAGCTAAGATTAAAGGCCACCGGTGCCTGGCCTAAGCCCATTTTTATACCTATCATTATTGGAGTATTTTGCTGAACTTTCACCCCTAATCTTGAATTTTCTTAGAGTCTTCTATTTTGTACACTTGTGTGGGAATAAATACCCCAGATTCACCCAAGCTTTCATAGCTTTATGTGTTTACTCTTAGTACATTTCCAAATTTATTTGCCATAGTTGTATTTTTCTAGGCTTCAACTCATTCTATTAGTATTTATGAGTGCCATGTTCAATTATTAAGCAAGATGCTTAGAATAAAAAGATGAATATGACATTTTTTGCCCCTTAAAACAGAAATATCACATATATTGGAGTATCATAGACCATTATTCTACACTAGCTAACTATACTGTGGCAAGGATTATTTTATATATGTTTGCATTAATCTACTAGAGTTGCCAAAATAAAATATAACAAACTGGGTGTTCTAAACACATTTCTCTTGAGAGCTCCCTTCTTAGCTTGGGGTGACCCACTTCTCCCTGGAGCCTTTTCTTTGTGCTTGTGCCATTATGTTCAATTTTCTTCTTACAAAGGCACCAATCAAATTGAATTAGAACCGACCTTCATTTTACACAATTACCTGTTTAAGAAGCTTTATTTTGAAGTACTGAGGCTTGAGGTTTTGAAATGTAAATTTTAAGGGAATATAATTCAGTTCATAAGTTACATATAACATAGTTCTTACTACCTAGAAATTAATTTTTAGAGATGACAAATATGC